TTCAAAGTATGATTTTATGTGAGAAATTTTTTATTTTCCTTATAAAAGATTGCGTTAAAAGTGTTGTATTTTTGTCTATATAGGAATATAGAACATGATGCATGATTTCATGTAATTGCAAAATTTCTAATATACTTTCCGTGCGTGTGAAATATACAAATATGTATCGTTTTTCATAGAAAATAAATATTAATATTTGACGTTGCGCGTAAAATTTGTATGTATCATCGTATATATGAGTTCTTTGAAAAATCGTTTTCACTTGGGAGAGCGTATAACCTATCATAGTTTGAAAAGTACTGCCATATAAACATTAGAAAGGTTCGGTGGTCCCACTCGCGTGTTGCGATAGTAAAAATAGAGGAATAATATTGAATATTGCAGTCGATCGATCTTCGACTCTGTAGAAACGTTTGACAATTTTCAAATGGATTTAACGAAAGAAATAAAAAAATAAGAAAAAAGAAAAAAGCAAACGTCCATTTAATGTTATAAATAAAATGAAATCATTACCAATTCAAGGGGACTCGTTGGTTTACTTGCTTTATCATTTATCGAAATAGAATCGACTATCCCCTGATGAATTTAATAGTGGTCAATTATCTATCACTGATGCTACTTTCGCCTAAATTTTGGACCGGTTGAGAAGTCCGAATGATGAGAAATCATCTATTGCTCGAAAAAGATATTTTTGTTGATATATATATATATATATACAGACACACACACATTCCACGATGTTTCACGGAACCTAATTTATCGTTTTGGTCATGCATTTTTACGACATCACCTGATGATGGGTACATAATACATACGTATTACTCGCGCGAGTAAACGTAGTGGATAAATAATTAGGATAGTGCGAAAAGATCGGCGATAATAACGATAGAGCTTTGTAAATCATCGAGTAAATTATTCGTTCGTTAACACTGCTTCATCTATACGTTGCTGACCATTCTAATTTATCTTTTGTTTAAAGCATAACGAACGGTACATAACGAGGATGAAAACTATTATTTCCATCTGCAGAATATCGATTTCCTCGGGAAATTTATCATTCAGCAGAATCCATGGCATTAGTCCGCGTTTAGAATTTAATAAGAAGGTTAGACCATTATTTCCATCAACGGGATATCGACTTAAAAGCGGCGAAGCGTTAGTTCGTTGCTACGGTTGGCGTAAGTGTCGAGTGGTACACGTTGCTCTGCTTTTATGTGCATGGTGGTGTGCATACAATGTTCACGTGGAAAGAATATTCGAATAGTTTCTCCGAGAAAATACATTGTACTCGTTTATGCAAAATAAACCATTAATTTTCTTTTAAACCGACACATTATTTAAAAAACATAAAAGAAAGAAACTTTGTAATACTGGAAGAAGATAAAGAGAACAAGAGTAAACTCGAGTGTTCTGCTCGGGTAAATCGTCTTTCTACGGACAGCGCTAGCCAGCTATTTTCGATGAAAATAAGGAGTCGTGAGTCACACGAGAGTCGCGAGGAATACCAGCCGGCCTGTTAAACAAGCTTCGTCTCTATCCCTCTTTTCTCTCCTCCGCCTCGGACTTGGCTGTGTCTTTCTGCCAGACCATGTTTCTCTGCTCGTTTCTCTTTTTCGTCTTTCTCTCTCTCTCTCTCTCTCTCTATCTCTTTCTCCCCTTCTCTTTTCCTATCTCTATCTTTCTCTTTCCCTCTCTACGTATAGTGCTCTACGAGAGTATGTTTAGATTTCAGAATATGCGAGTCATCCCTACCCATTCTCTTTCAAAACTTAGCATGCCGCTACTACTGAGCTAGTGTCAAATTACCACTTTCATGCACGCTACGCGCGAACGAGCTGACCGTAATCATCCACCGATGCATGTATAAATAAGGTTGTACTATATTTCCTACCATTTAAGGATAAACCTTTTGTTCGTTTATTTTCTATATACTTATTTAATTTACTTACGTTACAATTGCCTTAAATAAATCTGATTCTGCAATTCTATTAAGTAATAAAAAACGAAATGGACTTTTCGTGGACTTTCATAGTTATATTTCGATTGTATTTGGATTAAATTCGATGTTTGGATCTTTTGTAAAAAATATTCGTATTGGGGATAAAAAATATTACAAAAAAAAAAAAAAGAAAAAAAGAAAGGAAACAGACGAAGGCTATTGTATATAACATAGAAAGTTTAACTAACAACGAACTACGAACGCAACTTTACATATATACCTTCGAGCATCGAAACGATAACGCACATACAAACACGAGTTTGCGTGGTGAACTTAAAAGGGTGAAAGAGAGCACGGCTAGCTGATACCACGTCCCCTCGGTGCATCGATCATGCTCGCGTCCGTAGCATCCGTTCGTGTGGTTTTCTCGTTGTTGGTTCCATCGTCTCGTTGTCGATTGGGACAACGTAAAAAGTGAGAGGATTTCTCGACTCGTCGAAAGGAATCATCGAAAAGAGGATTTTCATCGACGTGAATTCAGCTCGCCAAATCGTTCGTCTCGAATGACTTAACTTTCGTTTCTTTTACCTCCTCTCTCTTTCTCTCTATCTATCTATCTATCTTGCTCTATTCTTTCTTTCTTTCTTTCTTTCTTTCTCTTTCTATTCGAGTCTTGCGCACGAACGATATTTTCGGCACGTTTGCGAATCCCGCAGCATAGGTACCGAGGGAATTCGGATCATCGTAAAGCCGACTAGTACATAAAATCGTTCTGTCGTTCTCCCACGATTCTCGCCAAGTTTCGCGACATCACTTTTATTCTCTCTTAACCGTTTCTTCGCTCGGGTTCGATCGTGAGAACGCACCATCCTCTCGTAAACACGCTGCATCACCGTCGATCGTCTGCATCGTCGTCGTCATCGTCGTCGTCGTCGTCGTCGTCGTCGTCGTCGTCGTCGTCGTCGTCGTCGTCGTCATCGCCATCGTCGACTTCGTCTGCTTCGTCTACGTCGTCGTTCTCCATGTCGTAATACTGAGGGAGAAGGAAAATAGAAATTCCACCGATTTCGACGTCGTATTACGATCGCTTGGAAAAGTACTTACGCGGCGCGTTCTCCTCTCGGAAATGTAGAATTTCTTGAGAGCTACCTGCCGGACGTACATATGTATGTAGAGGTACGTACTTTCTTGACAAATATTTGCCTGGTGGTATGCTACTTTTCCCCTACGAGTCTCATTACCAAGCCTTCCGTAAAATTACATTCAAGAGGAAACGATCGTCGGGTTATTATTTTTCGAAACGTTTATGAAACTACATACATATGCATCTATGTCGCGATGATACTTGGTTGGATTAGTTCGATTAAAAAATAAAAAAAAATAGAAGAGAGGGAGAGAGAGAGAGAAAGAGGAAAAAGAAACAGAAAGTAGAAAAAAAAAGAAAAAAAAAACAATAAAACGAGAAAGTAGAAAAGTCTGTGGCGCGGAAAAATAGTAGCGCATTGGGGAAAAAATGGGAAGGTAGCGATCCGTAGGGCGGACATTCGAATTTTTCAAATGTCACGCGACACCGGTAAAAAATTCGGAATAAAAACGATGCACGCACGATCGCGCGAGAAACGACGATCGTTTCCGGGATTTGCGTTGGGAAAGCGTTTGCTCCCCTCGGCCATCCTTTTTTATCTTCATGGCCCTTTTTTGCAACTCGCAAAACTATTCTCCTATCGCCGTTAGGATTGCTCTCTCTCTCTCTCTCTCTCTCTCTCTCTCTCTCTCTCTCTCTCTCTCTCTCTCTCTCTCTCTCTTTCTCAGACTGTCACACGAAATGGGTTAATAGGACAACGCAACCATTGCTATTATAACGCCGTTTCGTCGCTCTAATCATTTGTAGTTGAAGCCTGGCCAAGTTTCGATACATCGCAGAGCATCTCAATGAGGTGTAACCATTTAATGTGTACTGCCAAACTGGAGCGGCTGCGCCACTGCGTTAGCTTAATTAAGAATTAATAGCGTGCTCTTTGAAAACAAATTAGCATATATCTCAATCATGGACTTTACCGTCGCCCTCGCCTACGCTATTTTATCTCTCTATTGGTCTTTGTCTCTCTCTCTCTCTCTCTCTCTCTCTCTGTTTCTAGTTCTTTCTCCTACCATACCATAACGAAAAGCATATTCAAATTCGGTCTCGTGTACGTGTCAACGACGATCGAGCGGTTATCGATGAAGCCACGCGAGTCCTCGGTTGCATTCAACGTTTGCGAAACACCACAAAGCCATTTAATTCTTCGTGACCATAAATATCACTCGAGAATATTAATTGGCGAATGCTAGAGTTAATACGATATCGAAAATCTACAGCTGCGCCGGTAGCCAACGCGAATGTCGCCCACTAATTGTTTCTCAGTGGTACGTGCGTTACAATTGTGTTGCTTTGCTCACCGTTATCGAGAAACCTTTGCTTTTCCTTTGCTTTTCCTTTTATTTTCCTTCTTTCTTAATTCTTTTCCTTTAGAACTCGGCGAAAAGTACCAACGTCGACTGTTTCTAATTCGATCGTATTACCGGACTTTCGACATATGGTCGTTATTCCTTATATAAGTCCTTCGATAAATATCGTACAATCGGTGGACAAGTAACGTTTATGGTCTCATGGTCTGCGATCAAGGATATACCCGTAGAACATATCCACCATATACGTAGAAGATTGGTAGATAGATAGGTAGGTAGATACGTACGTATAAGTTTTGGAGAAAAATCGATCGAGTTGGTAATTCATCGATTTCGGATAAAATCGAGTATCGAACTTGGAACTATAAAATTCGAACAATAAAACGACAGCCTTCCTTGAATTTCGCGGAGTTTTATCACGCGGTACGTTTACGTTCTCTCGAAGTCGTATGTTATTAATTTTCGCTCGGTTCCATGAGAAGAATTATATTGCCTCGTAAAATGAAATTAAGAGCAGGGGATGAGACATACGAGTCGCAAATGTTTAAATCTTGTTTCTAGGTTTACGACGCGATGGTGCTCATAGTCCGATGTTATATTTAGATCTACTTACCGGTGGATACTCGAAACTCAACTCTTCTTCTTCCTTCCTTCCTTCCTTCCTTCCTTCCTTCCTTCCTTTCTTTCGGGTTCCGATTTTGGGAGGAAGGCTCGTTTCATCGACTTATCCCATAAAGATACGTCATAACCGATCGAGAATAAGTTTCTCCTGAAAATGATCCAAACGCAAAAAATGTTGAATATCGGTAAACAGAAAAGTTTCGAGAAATGCGTGGGGAAAAATGTATGTCAACGTTTCGCTTAAAACTTCGATCAGAAATAACGATTGAGAGGATTCAGTTTCTGTTCTGTTCTATTCTATTTTATTCTGTTCCACTTTATTCTATTCTATTCTATTCTATTCTATTCTGTTCTGTTCTATTCTATCCTACTCTATCCTATTTCATCCTATTCTATTCTCTTCTATTCTATTCTACTCTATGCTGTCCTATTTCGTCTCATTCCATTCTACGTCAATTTTTCTTATCATTACTACGAGAAAAAGAAAACATGTCTATCTGTCGAGTTAGGGATCGATGCCCTTCAACCCTGATTTCGATAAAGCCAAAAAGCACGTGCTTCGATGGAGTCGGATAAAGCGGCAAAATTGTAGGGTGCTCCTCCTGGTCGATGTCTCATTTTGCTGCACCTTAGAACGACCCGCAGCTTTTTCATTATCGCCAGTACGGATGGAAAGGGGAGGTGGAGGAAAGACAGAGGGCGAAAACGGTGAATGAGGGTGAATTCGACGTAAGGAAGCTTGCCTTTTCACGAAAGTCTCCTGTTTTCGTTGTTGCTGTTTCTCTTATTTCTTTTTCTTCTTCTTCTTCTTTTTCTTCTTCCTCTTCTTCTTCCTCACTTACGAAATTAAGAAGCAGTTCGTCACGAAGAACGTCCGAGGGTGGCCAAATGAGGATAGAGAAGGAAGGGAAAGAACGTTTTTCTATGAGAAGCAATTCGTTGCAGGCTCGACGAGTGTCGCTGCTCTTACAGCTCGATCTCTTTCGTCTTTTCTCTCTTTCTCTTTCTCTCCTTTTCCCTCGTTCTCTCTGTTCTTCTGACTCACTCGTTGGATCAAATAAAAGAAAATCTTTCTCCTTTTCCTTTTTCTCGACCGTTTTTTCCTTTTCCTTTTTCTCTTTTTTTCTTTTTTATCTTGTTTCCGTGTCGTCTCTGTTTTCCTCTTCTGGTTCATTTGCAGCATTTGTCCGCTTCGTTGCTATCAAAACCAACAACACTACTACCGGCATCACCGGACAACCCGTAAAGTTATTTTAATTTGGCAACTGCAAAATCGACTGGAAGATACGTTCTGTATGCGCGATACCGCGATTAAAATACGTCCAATATAATACAGTAGCCGAGCTTTTATAATTCGGTCGATCTAAATAAACGTGTCGAATTGGTCGTTGCAACGTAAAACACGAGGCGACCGAGAATGGAAAGGACTGGGCGGAAACTTTACAAATTTTCGAGGATCGAGCTGGTTTTGGTTTTCGAATTTATACTCGATCGTTTTCGCAACGATTAATGCTACTACGTTTTCGTCCATCCATTCGTTCTCTCTTTCGATTCTATTGCTATCTTTGAAAATTATAGACATCGATAGATTCGTGCGAATTCCATTGTCCATTCTTCCCTTTCTCTCTCTCTCTCTCTCTCTCTCTCTCTCTCTCTCTTTCTATCTTTCTATCTATCTATCTCTTTCTAATTCTGTTTACACAGTGACATCTTTTATTGAGATTATAACGTTCAAGATTTGAGAAATTATGAGAGATAGCTCGCGATACGATAGTTTGCGTATTACGTGCACCTATCAAAATCGAAATTCCTTTATCATGTTATAGCCACCAAGATTGGTTAAGAACGATTGGTCCTCCTCGATTCGTTTGGTAATTTCACTTTCAAAGAGTCGCGTGTTGTAAACCGATCGCGTGCCTCTAATTGTTCTCTACGATGTACTTCGCTATAAATTATTGTCAGACTGCTCGTCTCTACCGTCTTTCGTAAGGTTGCCTTGAGCTTTCAGTCCGGTATTAACGTCGGAAACTCACAATCGATTCTTATACTTGGAGAGTTTTTGAGAAAGAAAGGAAGAAAGAAGGAAAGAGAGAAAGATCTTCGCGTGTCCGTTCAAATACGATTTGTCGTAACGCTTTAGAATTTATCTTTCGACGAGCTGCGCCTTTTTCTCTCTCTCTCTCTCTCTCTTTCTCTCTCTCTCTGTTCTTCATTGTATTATGTTTTAAAAGCTTGAAAAAAGCTCTTCACAGAAGAAGCGGAGACTCGAATGTGTTCCTAAACGTTTCTTCTCTCTCTCTCTCTCTCTCTTTTCCTCTCGTCTACGTTTTTCTTTCTCTATCTATCTCCGTTTCCCCCTCTTCCTCTCTATCGCTCTCTTTCTCGCTGAGGGAACCCTTTGACGCGTCCTTCAAATGGAATGCATAATTTCTCGACAATCTTTTAAATCGTTTAATCCCCCTTTGCTCTGTGAATGTTAAAAACTCTCTTTCTGCGCGGAAAATGGTAATGTGAATGGCGGAGGAAGAAACGTTTCAGAGGAGAAAATTCTACGGGGTTAAAACGTGCGTCTCCTAGACGAGAAGCAGAACTCGCAGCTCCAATTTCCGGAATTATCCACGGAGTGCCGTGCCTCGTGCCGCGAAACCTCGAATTCGTGGCGAAATTTAGGCTGGATACGAGAATTTTGAGAACAATGTTCCTTCCTATTTCTTTTCTTTATTTCTTTTACTCTCTCTTTACGTATCGAAATCGATAATTGAATTGCGTCAATAATGCACCCTCAATGCGTCTTTCGTTCGTATCGTGTTAAAGCCACGATAATTGAATGATAATATCGAGTGAAAAAAAAAAAAGAAAAATAAAAATGTTTCTTTCGTGCTCGCTGTTATTCGCTGCAACGTACGTGAAGTAATAACCACGAGTGTAATATAATATAATTCATCGCTCATCATACCTTGAATAATGAGGTAGCGGATACATTGTGTAAGTAAAGATTAAAGAGAAGTAGAAATAGTATGGACTTTCAATGTTTACAATGCAGTGCGTACGGCTATTTTATAGGCATAATTTTATTTTTCGTGTTTTTTCTTTTATTCTCTCTCTCTCTCTCTCTCTCTCTCTCTCTCTCTCTCTCTCTCTCTCTCTCTCTCTCTCTCTCTCTCACTCACTCACTCACTCATCTCTATAAGGACTATGCGATGCAATGTATATGGAAGAAAAGAGAAGACGAATATTTAATCGTAGGATGGAAGAGCACGCGTGCGCTCTTGTTTACGCGATTCGTTTTACGATGGATATGAACGTCTCGCATTCCGCACGAACTCTGTGTTCCTCTCATCCTCTCTTTATATTTCTAGTTTTCCATCTCGGCCAACGCTCGACGACGGAGTTTAACTCTACAAATCTCTATTTTCTGTCGGCCGAGATGGAACGAATTTAAACTCGCGTAATATAAAGAGCAGTGAGTGCGTATGTATTTACCTATGTAGCTACGTACGTGTATGTGTACATAAGAACGGGTATACATAGAAAAAGTCGAGCGCGCTCTATTAGCTCCCCTTATCAAAATGCACGACCCGACTAAAACTGCAATTTCTATGGAGCTGACGAAGGTGCGTTGCGATGCCAGGACCAAAGTGCAATGAAAACATTTCTTTCGAGTAGTGAAATTATTTTGGGCTCTCTCTCTTTCTCTTTCTCTCTCTCTTTCTCTATCTCTCTCTATTTCCATCTCTCTCTTGGTATCGTCGGAAACTAAGTTTCCAAAATTCCGTCAATCGCAATATTTGTTCGATCGACAGGAACCTTTCTAGACTATTATTTCCATCCATTCGACGTTCCATTCCTTTTCCAGACATTTTCCAAATAGTACGCTCTGGATGCCATACTCGAACGTTAGTTTTCATAGTTTAGTACGGAAAGGAACGTCGTGGTTGCACTCAAGGCATCTCTACGAGACGTCTCGACGTTCCTATTGAATGTATAATTCAAATTTCGTCGTATGAATAATGTGCAATGATGTACGGGACCGGCAGTGATAGGGGTGAGACGTAGGAACGTTTGCAGGGTGCGCGAAACACAGAGAAAGAGAGGGAGGGAGAGCTTTGCCTTGCCGCGAGTGTAACGCAATAAATAATAGACGCAGGGTCGTCCGTTTCTCTGTCTTCCCTCGGCAACTTCCCAGCGCGTCCCATCGCTGAAATATTCAATGGTAGTAATGGCCTGAAACTCGTTGCTACCCGCAGATCCACCTGTCGTTTGGGCACCAGATTCACGTCGGTTTTCGATTCTATACGTCTCATCCTTTCTCTTCTCTCTGTGTCTCTTTCCCTCCCTCAACATAGTTCGACCGTTATACTCGATTTGGTCATGTCAATCGTCCTGTCACTTTTATCCATCCTATAGGTCTTTCGATATTATTGTTAAATTGTACAAAAGCTATAAGAATCGTTTAGCGAACGAATGCATTGCGTTAAGATGCTTTTATTTTTATTTATTAATTTGAATCAAAGATAAATGCAATCATAGGCCGCCAATCTTTATAAGGAACAAAAAAAAAGGAAAGAGATGAAATACTTTTTTATTCCGCATTGAAGAATAAAGCTGTGAAAGGGACAACGATTAAATGGCTTTAAAATTAATTTATCACCTGATAAATTTGGTGAACTTTGCCTTTTCTATTCCCGAGAAAATCCTCGTCACGCTGGCGAAAAGAAAGCGCAACTCTGTGTGTTTTATCTTTTTTTCTTCCTGACTTAATTGGAGGAAATAATCGAGTTAATATCATTCCAGCGTTCAATGGAGATTGAAAAACTTTGGCTTGGCGCAATTAATTTTGTCGCGAATAATTTGTACGATTTTCAATGCATATGTGTAAATCGAACGAAATAATGACGATAACTGATAAATATCTTACAATTACGGGAGATAGATAAATAGGGAGAGAGAGAGAGAGAGAGAGAGAGAGAGAGAGAGAGAGAAAATAAAATTTTCAAACTCTATAAAACATAACGAAGATAGATAATCTTGAAAGAGTAGCTGCAAACATAAGAAAATGAGAAAGAAATAGAATGAAAGGGAGAGGGAAAGATCGATAAGCTTTCTTCGATAGCGTTTGCGTACATACTATAGGACTTTGCAGTTAAA